TGCTTTGTCGTCCAGCTGCCACAGCAGGGGGTCGTGTAACTGCCGCCAAGGACGCCGCCGTAGGACGTCGCGAAGGGAGGAGGGGGGAGGGGGGTCAGCAGTAGAAGTAGAAAAGGGGTCATCACGCGGGGTCGCCGGTTTCTGTGAGGGGGAACCAAATTTTGGGAGTGGGGGAAGGCAGGAGAAAGTCTTAGTTGGCGTGCAGAGCTGTGGAAGTCCTGCTAGCCTTACGCATGCAGTGCATCAGGCTAGGTACCCTCCGGTGTGTTGGCTGGTGCTCATGCCATCAAAGGAAAAAAAAGGTGCTATAATGCCTAATTAGAGGCGTTTTATTGCAATCGTGGCTTCAGAAAGTCGCTACTAGCCCCCATAGTTGTTATTTTCTGCAATGTTAGTGTCCTCGCAGACGTACTGTACTACTATGTTATCATTCTTTAAAAGATGTCATAGCACATTTTAAAGTGTCAAATAACATCAACTTTGTTTTTTCAGTGATCTCCCCTCGACCCTTGCCCTCTTGCCTCTAGCCAAACGGCTGGAAAGAAATTACTTTAAGTGGCCACCTCTGGGGGGACCCTCACCCTATACTGTACCGTGTGTTTATATAAATGTGCAATAATACGTTGCTGTATGTTGTGTTTTTGATTTTGAAAACTCAGTTATGAAGCCGTTTTTAAGTATTGAGTAATTGACAATTAACACAGAAATGTACAAATGTACAACTGCACGTGCACGTGTCTGTGCTAATTGTCAATTACTGCACCGATCCGATTAAAACCGTTCTTTAGAACCCTATTGTCGGATTGATCTAAATTTCTGCAGTAGATTCTCTTACTACAGTACAGATTATTTCTTTTAAGTAACATGACACTCGAAGTCAACTGTTAACAGTCTCGATAGAGGGGATTGGGGGCGTAGGGGTAAAGAGGAGCCGCTTCAATGAGGGAGGGTCGCGGTGGGGCCTAGGTTGAGGGCTCCATCGATATGCCTCGCTGCCAGCTAGCGAAGGGGTCGTGACTCCGAACCCGTCTCCCTTCGCTGGCAAGGGTCACCGCCTAACTCGGGTGGCGTGGTGTAGATGGTATTGGGTGTCTGAGTCGGCTAACCCCCTCCCCCTCCTCCCTTCCCCACGCCACAGCACCAGACAACCCTTGTGTGACGTTCATGGTCTTGGTTGATCATTGTTAATCTATGCCGCCGCGTACACTGTGAAAAATACCGTCGTAAATTTACAAAAATTTTGTGAACTTGAATTATAATTTAAGTTGTAAATTTACGACATCACATTTTATACTCGCCAAGGGATTTGAAGTCGATATATACTGCATGTATATTTACGATACAAATTGTAATTTTTACAACTTGCGTCAAAGAAAATTTTCCTGTAAACCTCGTACTATGATACCTTTCTGGGCCGTTAATCATTCATGTACATGACGTGGATCGTTCTACAGTCTTGATGAAAGGCGCATTCTACAATCAAGGATTGAATTTTCGTTTCGTGGTTTCCTGCTTTTTTAATAAGCTATCTGGTGAGACTGAGACATGTTATTTTTGCTTCTTTTGTTTCCTATGCCATTTAGCTCACAGTAAACCTTTTCTCTCTATCGTCTAGTGGATGCCAGGATCGATCTGGAACACGGCCTACACGTGTCCAATGAGCAGCGGACCGCAGTGCAAGTGCGACGTATTCGAGAGGTTGGATTAGTTCCAGCTGGCATATCCGTCTCGATGGTGTGTTTCCAGCTGGTGCGCTCGCCAACATTTTTCACGCGAGAAAATATGGCCATGTGGACTGCCTGGCTGGGCTTTGCCCCCCCCCCCCCCCCCCTCCTCCCTCTGT